AGGCGGCTCTTGAGAATCCCCTGGACTGCAAGGAGAACAAACCTATCAGTTCTAAAGGAAATCAACCCTGAGTGCTCACTGGAAGGACAGATCCTGAAGCTGAGGCTCCAGTACTTTGGCCATCTCATGAGAAGAAAAGAGTCCTTGGAAAAAACCCTGATGTTAGGAAGGTGTGACGGCAAGAGGAGAAGGGGACGACCGAGGATGAGATGGCTGGACAGTCTCTGCGAAGCAACCAACATGAACCTGACACAACTCCGGGAGGCAGTAGAAGACAGGAGGGCCTGGCGTGCTCTGGTCCATGGGGTCACGAAGAGTCGGACACGACTAAACGACTAAACAGACACACACTCACTAGGGGACAAATACAAGTACATATGTTCCTTGCATAATTAATTTTGTAAACCACCCAGAGAGTGGTCCAGCTCAATGGGGCAGTATATAAGTTGAAACAACCACAATTCCATAAATATACATTAGTGTTAATAGTGAAACATTTTGAAAACTACTGTAGTTGAAATAGTTTAGAACTCCGAAAGTCTTTCCCCTCCAAGTAAGGTGTTACAAGTAGCATCATTACTTGTAATGTATTGCTGCCAAGAATTGCGCTCTAGTAAACTGAGGAAAGCTGTGCGTTCCCCATCCCTGCCTTACACTGAATTCTAATGGTTAGTATTAAGAAAATGGCTAAGAAATAATGCAAATGGAAGTTCCCAGTTCAAGTCGTACCTTTTGTACGAACTTCCTCAGCACCAAACTGAAGGTTGTTTCATTAAACTGGTGAGCTTTTATAGTCAGGTTTTAAAAAATAAATAGGAGACGTGGGAGATCCTATACTTACCGCGAAACACAATGTGTACGTAGGTGAGCTTTAATCTTTTTCTTGCTCAGCTGCCATCTTAGCAAACTGTACCCCTCCATTTGTATTCAATATTAGAAAGATCTTGTTCGTTCCAATGGAAAGTTCTCCCCCTGCCCCGCAACACAAATCCCCATGTGGTTAAGGTGATTTTGTGCTGGTTGTGGCTGGGAAAGAAAGGATAAGATTTGAGATGGAGGCATATTATACCAATACAGTGGTGCCTCGCTTTATGACGATAATCCGTTCCAGCAAACCATGTTCTTAAGGTTTTTCTTCCTAATGTTTCGCCAGTCTCTGGCCGGCATCTTCAGAGGACAGGAGTCAGAACTCTGTTTATCCAGAGCACAGACAGAGTTCTGACTCCTGTCCTCTGAAGATACCGGCCACAGAGACTGGTGAAACATTACGAAGAAAAATCTTAAGAACATGGTCAAACAGCCCGGAAAACCCACAACAAAGGATTAGACTACTTTTCCCTGCATACTGTCATCCCTATAAGTATTAGAATTAGAAAAATAAGAATTATCAGTTGATTTAGCAATGTGGATCCGTTAATATTAGAAATGTTAGTTGTAGAAGGAGCCACCAGAGAAATCTAGTGGCTGCGAAGGCTAGGAGGAGCAATGCAGGCTTTCCTGTGAGGAAAGACGGAAAGAACTGGGCATGTTCAGTCTTGAGAAAAGAAGACTGAGAGGAGCTATGGTAGCACTTTTCAAATACTTGAAAGGTAAAGAGGATGGGTAGGATCTGTTCTCAATCATCCCAGGACACTTAATAATGGGCTCAAGCTACAGGAAGCCAAATTTAGGCTGAATATCAGTTAAAACATCTTAACCATTAGAGCAGTACAACAAGGAAACCAGTTACCTCAGGAAGTGGTAAGTGCCCCAGTGCTGGAGGCATTCAAGAGAAAATTGAACAACCATTGGTCAGATCTGCTTTGATTTGAATCCCTGCACTGAGCAGGGGATTGGACTTGGTGGTCATATAGGACCCTTCCAGCTCCATTATTCTATGATTCTATGAAACTTTAACCATTAGAGCAGTACAACAAGGAAACCAGTTACCTCAGGAAGTGGTAAGTGCCCCAGTGCTGGAGGCATTCAAGAGAAAATTGAACAACCATTGGTCAGATCTGCTTTGATTTGAATCCCTGCACTGAGCAGGGGATTGGACTTGGTGGTCATATAGGACCCTTCCAGCTCCATTATTCTATGATTCTATGAAACTGACATCAACTTCCAACTCCATTATTCTATGATTCTAGAAACCGACATCAACTGTCCTCTCCCAAGAATGGAGTTTCATTCAGAATTTTGTGGGAGAATTTCCAACCATTTTTGAGTCCGGGGAATGTGCCTCTAAGACTATAGGATTGGTTTGGATTGCTGCAAACCACCCTGAAGTTGCTCAATGAAAGATAGATATAAATATTTTAAAAATCTCCTCTCTCTCTGTCTGTCTCTCTCTCTCTCCCCCTTTATGCACTCTTTTTACACAGACACACACCATACATGTAACTCACACACACACACACACACACACACACACACACAGAGAGAGAGAGAGAGAGAGAGAGAGAGAGAGAGAGAGGATGTTATGCCCAATTCTCTTCTCTTCATGCTGCAGCTTCAGGAGTTCTAACCCTCAGCCTGATCTAGCATTTACCCTTTGAAGAAAGTCACAAGAGACCTCCTGTGTTTTATGATATTTGTATTTATTTACAGTCTAGTTCTAAAACTGCAGGTTTGTCCCTTTTTTTGCTTCCTGCTTACACTCAGACCTGACTCATCCTCTCCCTCCTCTAGTGTGGGGGAAGAAGGATGAGTCATCTCCACCCATCACCTATGCTTCTTTGGGCCATCTTAGCTCCCACTGAGACACATCACCTCAGTATCACAGGTTAGCAGACAGTCATCCTTGTCAAATCTTATGAGGCATAAGATTTTGGCATACCACACGGTTAGACAGTCATCCTTGTCAAATCTTATGAGGCATTAGATTTTGGCATACCACACTGTTAGACAGCTCCAACCCCAGATGTTTTGCAGTCA